AAGCTGAGGCCGACTCCGAGTCCATCATATTTAGTATATTATATTACTTGTAGTATGGATTTATTTTGGGATGTATTTTATTTATCGACTTATTTATAACTTTTGGATTGGATTTACGTACTCTTGACTTATAAGCTTATATATGTCATTTTCTTCATAAGTTTAGTATTGTCGAATCATAGTATACCTTCTAACTATTTGATCTGAGAATCACTTAAAAATTATCAAAATTTACTGTCTGTACTGGATATGGAGATACATCTCAATGCTTTATGTAGATATATCTTTCAAATAATCCAACTCTTATCAAATAAAGTAGCTTCCTGAGACGCATCTCCGAAACAATCTAGCTTTGATAAAAAAAGGTGCGTCCGAAGATACATCTCCAAAAACCGAGGGCCATTTTGGGAATTACATAGGATGTTTTTCAAATACATAAGGTGGGTTAAGAAATTTCCAAATTGATTTGCAAGCTTGAAAGTCAGCTTATAACTCTCAGCTATTATTTCCTGGCAATTTCTTTTTGCCCCCTGTTACATTCTCCCATGCTCCTAGCGAAATGTCAAAAATGCCATCTATTTTCAGAGATACATCTTCGAACACACCATTTCTTTATTTTACTTAAATTAAATTCAGAGATGCATCTGCGAAGGTATATTTTAGAGATGTTTATCTGAAAATGTCCTGATACTGAAAAACAAACAAAAACCAAAAAGATGACAATATGATCAGATTGAAAACCAAACCAACATCAACACCAACACCAACTTGACATTAAATTAAAACACTCAACATTACATAAATAGTCATTAAAATAAATTCAACATTACATATTATTATAAATATGACATTGTAACATAATGATTATATCCTCGACAAATCTTTGAATCCTTGCATCTACTTCAATCATACCCTTTGATCATAATGGTGTAAAACACTCCACATAACCTTTAAATTTTCATCCGACTTCAGTTCAAAATTGGTGAAATGTATCTTCCATTCGCTGTCAAACAAGGGTGAAAGATACTCGAACTTGACAACTCTATAATTTAATGGAAAGCATAGATGAGTATTTCATTTGGATATCTGATCTGCAATGGATTTTCCTCGGTGACTCTAAATAGAAGTGGCGGCTTCTCGCTATTGAAACACACAAATGCAATGTGGGAATATGCACTCTCTAGTTTTTGTGTGTTATGTAGAAAAACTGTGTTGAGAGACACCCTATTTATACAAGTATTGGGTCACGTTGGACGTTAGAAACCTTATCATGTCATCGAGTTACTTTTTATGTATGTATCTCTGGTTAAACCCCAATTTTTTTTTACTAAAAGGGTGACTTCAGAGATGAATATCTAAAAATGTCACTAATTCATTTTTTTAAATATGTGAGGTTTATTCATATATGTATATCCGAAAACATACATGAACCAGAAGAAATTTCCATCATCCTTAACATTTGCAATCCACTCAATGTGTTTCTGCATAAAAAGCGACCTTTCTTCAATGAATTAAATATTCAGCATCAGTGGTGAAGGAGTAGTTTGCTAATGCGAACACCCTTGTACACACTTTTTTGAGAGTTAAGAGGTGGAGAATATGAGAAATATGAATCAACATGTTCAAATTATGATGGAGATGAATTTGTTGAATTGTCATCTTGAGTCGATTTTACCTTTTTAGGGGCAACTTGGGTTTAACTGGTTCTCAATGAGGTTTCAAATATGTGGTTTCCGGATAGAAAATCTCCCTCAACTGCTCTATATGTGCAGTTTCATGGTGACACATTCCTTAGAAAGTATATCTTGGATTATTTTCCACTCGGTCTAGATAGTTATACCTACTTTACCATCCTTCATCACATCATTATAATCAAAATAAAGTCTTTGCCAGTGATTGTACACTTCATCCACACGTATCGGGGAATTAATCTTCATTTTTTTGCAATGATACAAGCACATGAAAGACCATAAGTCTTCCAAACTGTACATTCATACTTGGACTTATCTAAACCTGTCTATTCTACCCGCTTTGCTTCGTGAAAGATGAAATTAAACCCCGACCGAGATATGCACCCAACCAACTTTGAATAGAGAATATTATCTTTGAATCAATGTTCTTGCACGGTAATGCTCTTACCAAAAGTAGTTTGTATTTTGGTATATTAGTTTTGGAGCATTTGGTTCACCCCGTTCCAAACTCTACATAAATCACCCTTACTATCACCCAACCATTTCTTCAATGTTGAATGTGCAGATTCGACTTTGTTAGTTGTTGTATTATCGAGGTGACTAACCTGATCGGTTCAAGCACATACAATTTTCTCCTTCACTTGGTCCAGAATAGTACTATCAACGTATTTCAAGAAATCTTTTCCACCACCACACAAGGTTTGACCATTTTCCATCCTCATCCTTGATTTTTTGGTGCCTATCACGGGTTTGATCCGAATCCTCACATATTTAGTAATGTGATATTGACAAAGTAACGCATAGGATATAGGAAACACCTTTGCAACCGAATTTATTAGGGTCATGTCTTGATCAGTGAAAATTACCTTTGACATGTTTTCTTGGTCATTCAACAAAGTCTTGCATATTTCCAAGGTCCATGAGGATAATGAGAAATATGTTGAACAACTTAATACTTTTAGGATGAGTCCAAAATATGTCACGAACAATGACTTTATCGTCACAAATCGTGTACCTAGAAACATAATAGTTTTTATCCAAAAGTTTCAAATGTTGTTGCATTTCGGATCTTTGACCCCTTATCGTCGTGTTGTTTCGATAACGCACATTGCATACCTGCTTGATATTTGAAACACTTTCTGGGGTTTCCGTTTCAAATCTGCAAGTGTATTTTTCAGCACCACTTTGATTAAAGACATGTTCGAAATAATTTCCTTCTCCTCTGATTAAATGAAATATACGATGGGATGATCAACTAGCTATTTTTGCAAGGCATGATTATGTATTCCAAAAATCACATTAAATTTACACATTTTATCCACCTTACAATATCTGCACAATTTAAATGGACAATCACATTTTCTCGTTTTGGTGTCATCATGTTTCAAATTCTGAATCGAGGGAACATAAGTGTCACTTCTCTCGCATCTCCTCTAGTTTAAGGCAATATACGATGGGATGATCAACTAGATATTTTTGCAAGACATGGTTATGTATTCCAAAAATCACATTAAATGTATACATTTCATCCACCTTACAATATTCGCACAATTTAAACGGACAATCACATTTTCTCGTTTTGGTGTCATCACGTTTCAACTTCTGAATCGAGGGAACATAAGTACCACTTCTCTCGCATCTCATGGATACAAATGGTTGTTTTATATTTGAACCTTCTGATTACAATGCCAAGCCCCAAATTCTTGGCTACCATGCAGACCCATTGAAACATATGTTCACGAGCAGTAAACAATTGTTCATTTTTGAAATGTTAACCAATATATATCTTAACAAGAACCAATTTAACATCATCCTTAACTTCATATGGTTTAACATCATGCTTCACTTCATCCATTTTAACATCATCCTTCACTACATCTGGTTTTACATCATTACTTACATCAGCTTTGGAAAACATATCTAGGTGCACCACATCTACTAATAACCAAAATAGAAAAATGCTTAAAAACATTAACAAAAAATTTCGGATACAAATCCGAAATTATGGCAGGTGAGTTTGAATATGTAAATCCAGACATGACATACATTTTTCAGCTTAACAACAAGATTAATGCAAATAATGAAGAATGAAATGAGTAAGCTTTACCTTAAATTGCAACTTCTTTTGCTCCCTTTGATGTGATAAAGTCCAAGAATGTTAGTTTGGAATCAAAAAGTTGGTTGAAAATGAATTATTTTAAGGGTTTTGATTATGGAGGAGATTTTAAGTGTGAGAGAGATGATCATGCAAGGTGGCCATATATTCAACTTTTAGTCGGAGATTTTCAAAGATACATTTCCAAAAATATCACTAAGTGGTTAAATGATAAACCATCTTAATGAAACTGCTGTGAAATGGCTTCAGGTGTATTTTTGGAGACGTATCTGCAAATTAACCTCATAAAAACTTGTAGTTGCATCTCCGAAATAAATTTTGAAAAGAAAAAAAGAGATTTTGTGCGTTCAGAAATGTATCTTCAAAAAAACCCAAAGATATTTTAGGGTTTTCAGGGGTCCGTTCCACACCATAAAGATGGAAAATTAAATTCCCTATTTTCTTTGTCCTTCAAACAATTACAATGAGAAAGGAATTATGTCCCCAACTACAAGGTTCTTAATTACTTCATAGAGTATTAAGTACGGAAAATGAGTTTTTTTAGCTGTTAAATGTAGAACTCCACAAGTAAAGAGAAAAAAAGTAAATTTCCAACAAAATGTACAAGTGCAGTATTTAAAAACAAAACTAATCTTACTTGTCAATAAATCGTGGTATTCAAAATCCATCCTTTTTCAACTATTTCTATGAGTAATGCATTTTTCTTTATTTCCATGGGAATGCATTTTCTTTCTGATACTAGGTGTATGTGGCGAGCCACACTCTTTTTCTTCCTGCACAATGCTTTTATTTTCCTTATCCCCGTGTGCAACCCAGCCTTATAATG